GTGCTCAGATGTAGCCACTTTCTCCTCCCTCATCGTTCTTGATGCTCTTGACCTTAGCTATCACGAATATGGCATGGTTTGTTGCCAACAGCTTTTGATGGTGGTGGAATCTAGAAAGGATGTTCATTCATTCATTCATCCATCCATCCATCCATCCATTCCTTCATTCGTTTGTTTGTTCAACAATCAAATACTTACTAAAAGTCTGCCTCACACTAGACACTGTTTTAGACCCCGAGGATGCGGCAAAACACAGGACACAGAAATCCCTTCCCTGTATGCATTCTCGTGAACAGGGCAGACAAGAAACCAGGAAAAGAAATAAAATATACAGTATGCCCTGCGGTGGTGAGTACAGCCGTGAAGAAAAAGGCAGGAAAGGCAGTAGGTGCTCACACACGAGACATTCATCCTTAGATGTTTCAAAGCAGCTTTCCTCACAGTGGCTACACCCCGGAAACAGCTCAGATGGCTGTCAAACAGTGGATTGGTCAATGCACACACAATCCATCCACACGTGGAATTCTATGTGACAGTGAGAAGGAACAAGCTGCGGACATGTAAAGCGATGGGGACAGATTAAACCAATGGTTTTCTGAATGAAAGAAGCCAGGCTCACAAAAATACACACCCTGCGATTCTATTTATATGACACTCTAGAATGGATACCGCTGATCTGCGGCGGGCAGAAAGAAGCAGGAGGCTTAGGTTGAAGGGAAGGAGAGATGTTGGAGGAAAGGCAGTAGACCGTCTAAGTGGATGGACTGCCCCCTGCCTCCGTGTGTGTTCCTCGTGGCTGACCGACCATAGATTTGCAATCAGAGTATCTCATCAGGAACTTAGTAAGTCATATTCACACACAGCCAGGGAGTAGGTGGGAGGGCACTGCGGTTTGGAAAGGGACAGGCAGAGGAGACCTCCCTGAGATGGTGGCTAGAAGAAAGTGAGAGAGGGTGTGTGGGGAAGAACAGTCCAGGCAGTTGAAATAGCAGTGCAAAAGTCCTGGGGTGGGAGCCTGACTCCGTAGCCAAGGAAGAAAGAGAGCCATTGTCTTAGCTGACTCAGGCTGCTGTATCAGCACCATGGGCTGGGCAGATTAAGCAACAGGTATTAACCTTCACACAGCTCTGGAGGCTAAAGCTGGAATCAGAACTTGGAGGAACCAGCAGCCTTGGTTTGTTCCAAAGCCTCTTTCCTTTACCTGTGTCTCCCAGGGTTGTTAGATGCTTACATTGGCCTGCACCCGTCACACGCAAAGGCCATCCCAACCTAATGGCTTTGTTTTAATTAACTCTATAAATACCCATTTCTAAATAAGGTCCACTCTGAGTCTCCACCGTCACAGGCTGTGTGTGCTGGAATGAGCAAGACACTACCAAGTCACTGTGGGCTCCCAAAGGGCAACATGGGGGCCTGGGAGCCCCTGCTTAGATAAAGGTTCCACTGAGGGACAAGGCAGGTCACTGGTAAAAAGAGGGGGTAAAATTGCAGGGGCCATACCACTTTTCACCAGTTCACAGCCACAGGGACTCTTACTGCCAGAAAAGCTGGCTAGTCTGGCCACCAAAGTAAAGTTGTGTGGGGCCTCTGTGTGGAATCTACTTAAAGACACAGCGGGGCCTGTCAGTCCCTTGTGTCAGAGAGCACAGTGCCATCCTAGTATGAAGAAAAATGGGGGTGGTGTGGACAGGGATTTCTGGACTCACAGGAGAGGGTCTACAGTGCCCTAGGAGTCAGCAATTAGCATTTCTCCCTGGCTGAGTCCCCCAGGCTCCGCTTCACATCCCCTGGCTGCGACACTATCTCTTGTCTAACACGAGTGCATAGCTCCTCAGCTTTACCAAGCCACGCACAGAAAACGCTATTGATTTTCCTTATTTATTTATGAGATTTCTTGCTGTGGGCAAAAAATAAAAAGGTTTGTGCAGCAGCTCTCTTCACAGCAAACACCATCCTCCACCAGCTGCCTCCCTCTGTCACATAGGCTCTGTACCTGAGAAACCTGCTGTTCCCCTTAGGAGAAATGGGGGTGGGGCTGAATTAGGTCCAACCTAATGACTGGCACATAGTGGGTGTTCACAGACATGTGTTAGGGGAAGTGACTGGATGCACTTTTTGAATGAGCTGTGATAAACACTCAAAAGGGTAAGGAAGCCAAATATGTCCCATTCCTATATGAAATGCCTGCTGGATTCCAGGCACCATGCTGACCCACTGGGGCCCAACTTTTCTAGCCATCAACCTACGTGGTATATTTTATTACCTTTTACCAATAGTGAGATTCTGAGTGGTCAAGCATCTCACATTGTTGCACAAGTGAGCCAGAATTCACATCCAGGGTTCGGGGTTCTCATTCTGCTGTAGGATGTGGACACTCCAAATAGGAACAAAAGCCTCTTGAGAGCTGGCTGTGCCCTCAAAAAGAGGTATGTCCAGTCTCTGTCTGATGGAGTCATTCCACTTTCAGAAAGGCCCCCATCCTCTGAGCATGTCAGGAACGAACAAGGTTTGTGTTTCTCTACTCTACTCTTCAATCTCTGCAAAACAAATATAGGGTCTGTCCCCAATCTGTTGTGGGATCACTAGCCCAAGGGTTGCCTTTTGTCCCTTTCCAGTGGGGCACAGGTAGCCAAGGGAATTGGGCTCCCCTCTCTGGGCTCAAGGTCTGTTGTCTAATGATATGGCACACCACGCCCTGAGCTGCTCTGTGGCAGCATAGCTAGCTGGCTTCCTGACCTCACAAGTTCACTTATGTGAGTCTCTTCTGTGATGTCCTCACCCGCCCTACCACTCCAGCCATATCCAGGGCCCTGTTCCAGGATCTGCCCAAGGATCTGCCCAGCATCCTGGGCTTTGTTCACCTTCTCCCACAGTGACGCTTTTGCAGTGTGGTGGCAGTTGCTTTGTCAACCGTCCACCCTGAGCAGGGCAGAAGTCACATCTCACTTCTGTGACTACCTCAGGTTTAGACACAGTGACTGGTGGTCATCCCTGCTGACCCTATATGAGTGGCAGCACCCCCACAGAGTACAGCTGACACCTGAACTACAGGGACAAGGCACTCACTTCTTCACCTCACACTCCTCCTCTCCTTCCCCACAGGAGTTTCCTCTGGCCATCCTCCGGGGCTGGGATTGCTACTGTGCCTACCCTACCCCCCAGTTCAGCCTGCGGGATGCTGTGGATGGAGCATTATGCAACCAGGCCCCTGAGGCTCAAGATCTACCTGGCTACTGTGAGGTCTACCAGACACCTGTACAAGGTGAGCTCTGCATACCTCCTGGACTGTGGCATTGGTCTAGAGCAGTGGTTCTCAACCTTCCAAATGCTATGACACTTTAATACAATTCCTCATGTTATGGGTGGTTCCCAACCAGAAAATTATTTTCATTGCTACTTTGTAACTGTAATTTTTCTACTGTTATGAATTTTAATGTGAACATCTGATTATTCCCAATGGTCTTAAGTCACACCTATAAAAGGGTCATTCAAACCTTAAAGGGGTCACAACCCACAGGTTGAGAACTTCTGGTCTGGGCCCAAAGAGCTCCCCAGGCTAGAAAGACTAGGAATGCCTGACTGTGAACCCTCGGGGTCAAAGGTGTGTAGAGTTCTATGTGTCTCTTCTTAGTTGGTAGGGGAGAGGAAAGGTAGGGTGAGGCCAGGCTCCTTTTGAAAATATGAGCCAATGGGGATGATAGAGTAAGAGGCAGAGAGGAAGGGGGTGGGGTGGCTCAGGGGATAACACAAGACTCAGGCACAGGAAAGGCACTTAGGTCTCAGCAGCCTCGTGTGCTAGCAGCCTTCCTGGAGTGAGCATCACCACACTGGCCTCTGCTGGTCCTAGGGACTGATGGGGGAGACTAGCTCATAGGGAGAAGCATCCCCACCGTTGCCAGTGTCTCCAGGGATTGTCCCCTAGTGACTTGTAATTCTTCCAGCAGCCCTGGGGAGGGAACATGAGAAGCCTTAAATCAGCCCAGCTTCAGTTCATTGCGCTGCAGTAGCATGGCTGGGTTCAGACAAAGCCCTGCCTGCCTCCTCTAGCAGAATCTGGAGTTCTCTGTTTTATGCCAAGAGGCTTTGGCTGTCCCATAAAAACAGAGTGGGGTGAGAGTCCTCAGAACACCCAATTCCCAGCCACCAGAGATGGGTGGCTTTATCACATCACTAGTCACTCACCGCATAACAAGGTGCAGGTGACAAATCCCTTAGTCACCAGTCCCTGTCCAGAGGACTTCAGTGGCGAATCTGAGATCACAGTGCGGGTGAGTGACTCCCTGGTGACTTATGGACTTTCAGACACCCGGTGCACAGACAGGAGGTTCCTGCCCGACAAGTCTAAGGTGTTTGTGGCTCTGTCGAGCTTCCCAGGAGCTGGGAACACATGGGCAAGGCACCTGATCGAACACGCCACTGGCTTCTACACAGGAAGCTACTACTTCGATGGAACCCTGTACAACAAGGGTAAGCCAGGGTTGCTGGGGGAGAAGACGCAACCCCATACGGTCCCCTCACGAACCAGCCCTCCTCAAAGCTCTAGAATTTTCCCATAGCTCCCCAGTCATTAAGGGTGAAAGTTAATCTGTTCATCCCTCTTTTTTTTTTTCCAGGCAAAGGGGTAGTTCATCGAAATGCAGCGTTTTGTTTTGTTTTTTAATTGATCCAGAAATGCTCAAGAACTTTATGATTTCTAATCTTTCCCTTGTAAAAATAAGAGGTCTCGTTATGCTGAGTAAATTAACTTAAACAGCTCAAGGTTGCATGCTGCTCAAGAACGAAGACCCTCAGACAAGTCAAGTGGCATCTAAATTTGGCAAAATGTGTTTCTCAGTTGTCAAGTGGAACAGCATTTGCTCTGAGTTTCTGAACCAGAGTTTGGTTTGGGGGGGCGAAGCCCATACTGTCAGAAACAAAACAACCTAGTGTCTTTGGCAGCAAGTTCTTAAACTGGGTACGTGCATATGTAGCCCAGCCCATCTTCCTTGAAATGCTAAGGGCACCTGCAGATGTAGGGGACAGTTGACGTATAAGCATATGGACCTGCTTTCTCTGGCTGGCCCCTCTCTCCAGGCTGCAATGACCTACCATGTTTGCCTAGAAGGCCTGTGCCAGCTGCCTGGATATACATGTAGATAAGTGGCCAAAGAGTATAACAACCAGCTTCAGGGCTGCCAAGAGGCACCTGGGCTTTGGGCCCTCGGACGTTGCCTGGCATTTATTTAGCTATAGTTTGAATCTTCCTCTGATGGCATCCTACCTGTTTGGTAAGATCAATCAAGGCAAACACTTCTGGTGATTGACCCATAGCAGTGGCAAGCTTTGGTGGGCAACCACCAATTCTGGGTCTGAGAGTTGCATTTTCCAGTCACCAGGGAAACACTGATGCCACTGTTGATCTGGATGCTTTGCAACCACTACCAAAGCGGGGCAGTGGGACTTTGTTTCCCAAATCCCATGACAAGACTGTGGAGATTTAAGGAGCCTTTTTTTCTGAGCTGGGGATCCTGGGTGAGGCTGACTGATGGGCTAGGGACTCCGGGCAACGTCTTTCCCAGAACATCCCACTTTGTGGGCTCTCCTGCTCTGTTCCCTGAAGCCCTGGTGATCTGCACTTGGGCCACACCACCTTCTCGTCCACAACCTTAAAGTCAGGATCTGTTCTTGTTTCTTTATTGCTGTTGTATTTATTCTTCGTTTTGCTGTGACAAATAACACTTGTTGCAAAAGCAACTCAAGGAAGGAAGGGTTTGAGATGGAATCCACCAGGTAAATCAGAAAGCAAGAGATTGAGGTGGCTGGTCACACTAGTTCCCTCTGTGTTCATCAAGGAAAAAAAATCAATGAATTCAGACAGCTTCCTCCTCTTATGTGGTCCAGGACCCCAGTTCAGGGAATGGTGTCATATGCCTTTAGGGTGGGTCTGCCTGCATCAATTAACCCAATCAAGATAGTCCCCAAAGCCACATCCTTCATGAATGTGCCCAGAGGCCAGCACATCCTTCATGAATGTGCCCAGAGGCCAGTGCAACATCCCTCACAGTGTGCCCAGAGGCATGTCTCCTAGCTGAGTTCAACCTTATCAAGTTGACAGCATCAGCCACCAACTAATTCTAAGTTCAACACAAGGAGCCCCGAGGTCCTTATGGAATCCTGGGACTCTGGGGACCAATTAGTCCAGTCTGATTTTTCTTTTTAATCAGTTTTCACTCAAATTCTGAGTCCACCGTGCTTTTAGCAAGGAGCCACAGAACAATGTGGGTAGCAGAGATACTGGCTTTGGGGACAACTCTCTATTCATGGAAGCAGGGTCGTGGGTCCTGAAATACTTCGAGTGTGGCCATCGCCAGACCTGCCCTGGTTCCCACAGTAGAAAATCTCTACTCATGTGATAGTCCAGGGATCTGTGATGAGATATATAAGGTCATAGGGAGGCTACTATTGTTTACAGCCACTGACCAATGATGGCTGTCTTGTCTCTACTGGAGTGGTGGCTAGAAGATGGGGCCTTCACACAAACACTCAAGGGCATATGGCAGAGCTCTAGTACAGGTGTCAGGATGCAGTGTAATACTGTGTAAGTCACATACCCACTCTGAGCCTCAGTCTTCATGTGGGCCAAAATTCCTTTTTTATTATTTTATTTTGGGGGGGAGGCAAAATTCTTTAAAATGCTCCTCTGAAACTATCTCCCTGGAAAGTCCAACATGTGTGTCACCTTCTGTATCTATAGTCAGGACCCTGTCTCTTTCACTGCCAGGGACTGCAGGAGGTAATTTGCTTCATGCTTCATCTTCCCTGCCAGGAGACACCTCCTGATCACACTTTCCCTGCGACAAGAGCCACTCCTATGAAGGCCTCTCCTGTCCCCATCCATAGATTCCCCAATATTCCCTCAGATGCCATCAGTCCTTGTGCTATTGTGGAAATGGGATCACCCCATGTGGTGGTGAGGGTACCTTCCTCCACAGAGGCCCTGTCATTCCTCCTGAGCAGGGTTCAAGGGTGAGAAGGACCATTGGCGGAGCCGGCGCACCATCTGTGTGAAGACACATGAGAGTGGCCGGAGGGAGAATGAGATTTTCCCCTCCTCCATCCTGCTGATCCGGAACCCATACAGATCTCTAGTTGCCGAATTCAATAGGAAATGTGCTGGACACCTGGGCTATGCCCCTGACCACAACTGGAAGAGCAAAGGTGAGGGACGGATCGCCTGGGCTGGGGACTGAGAAGTGTAGCAGGGTGGTGCAGGATCCGAATACACATTCCTGGCTGTGGAGAGGCCTGATTGCATTCATTTCTTCCCCATCTTCTCCAAGCTTGCTTTGTCCACACAGTGTGGCACTTTATGTGACTGCCATGCAGATGGCAAGCCAAACTTTTCCTCTTCTCTCTGCCCTCAGGTGGGTGATGAGGTCATATAGACCTGGAGCTCGCACAGAGTTCAGACAGCTCTAGATGCACATGGCTCTGTTTGCCCCTCTGCCTGAATCAACAAGATTCTCCTTTAGAAAAGGAGGCCATAGTCACACGACGTTCAGCAATGGGAAGATAGTGTGCATGCCTGGTGTGTCCCGGGTTCAGCATCATGGTCCTTCCTAAGCTGCCCCCATGGACTCTATGGAATTCTGAAGGGGAATCACTGTCCATGTAACTTTCTGGATGAGCCCAGAGGATAACTTGATTTGTCCAGGGTACCTGGGTGTTGAGAGGCAGAGCTGGGTTTTAATCCCTGCTTCCTAGTCAGCTTGGACTACCATAACAAGGCACCGGAGATGGGGGCTTAAATAACAGTTCTTTGTTCTTCATGGTTCTAGAAGCTGAATGATTCAGTGTCTGGAGGAACCCTTCTCCCAGATTTCAGACAGCACTCCATGGCTATATGGCAGAGATACTAATCCCATCTCAAGGCCCAAGCCCTCACAACGTCATCTAACCCAGATTGTCTTCCAGAAACCTCTTCTATAGACACCATCATATTGGAGTCTAGGGACTTTCATATATGTTACAAGCATTCAGTCATAGCACCCTGGCTTCCTGATTTGGACCAATCAAATAGCTCTCTTCATGGAGTCACCCTGCTGATCTCAGCTTCTAAAATTCTACCATTTGTCAGGCCCTAGCTGAAGAGCCTGCCCTTGAAGCACTACAGTCTGGCCCTAGTCCCCCTCCATTCATATATTGAACCCCTGTCCCAGTATGATGGTATTTGATAGAAATGTACATCTGGAGGTGACAATGTCAGTTAAGCCAAGAATAAAACTGCCCAGGGCAACACTGGGTAGAGATGCTGCAGGGCCAGTGCCAGCCGAACCTGTGCTTCCGGAGCTGACTGGTGACCTGATGGCTTATCAGTCATCCCCTTACCTATCACCTTCTACTTTGGCCAGACCCCAACAGCCATCCTTCTCTGCTTTTAGGTACAAAGGGGCAGTGGCAAGAGATCAGCACCCATCAGCCTACCATACTCATGCTGAGCTCATATCCCTCCGTTGGCTCTGAGGAAGCTTCAGCCTTTTCCCCAGAGATCAGGGTGTTTTTCATCTTTGAGACTGGTATTGTCCGATCTCACAGGATTATTTTGAAGATGACAGGAGGCAAGCCATAGTATGCCAATAGCTCAACAATGGAAACATTTAGACAAAAAGGAAATGTTTTAGACAAAATATTATTCCACTTAGACTGTTCTGGAATTTTCTATATAGACCAGGCTGGCTTTGAACTCATAACTCTCTATTTCAGCCTCTGAAATGCTGGGTTTATAGGTATGTAATAGCTCTGCTGCACCTAATGAGAAACTTTTAACCGGGACCATTTTTGTTTTCATACCCTGCACCCTCCAAAAATAATTTCTTTATGTTGTAAAAATGGGCATCTCCTGGTATAGATCTGCAAAAAACAAGAGGTTGCCCCCTTGTCTATGGCTTCAATCTTCATCCTGCCTCCCAGCAACGTCATGGGTTCAAATCTGCTATCATGATGACTAGGCCCCCATGTGCATATTTCACACACCACATTCTCTTAGCACAGCAGACTAAGCTGCTTGGCATCCTCAACTCACTGGGGCCCAGAAGCTGGTGGCATACATTAACCATTAGTCAGCACAGTGGTTGTCACCCTTTTAATTCTGCAACCTTTTAATACAGTTCCTCACGTTGTGGTGACCCCCAACCATAAAGCTATTTTCACTGCTACTTCATAACTGGAATTTTGTTACTGTTATGAATCATAACATAAATATCTATATCTTCTGATCATCTTAATCAATCCCTGTGAAAGGGTCATTCAATCCCCCAAAGGGATCCCAACCCACATATTCAGAACCACTACCCTAGAGGATGCAGGCAAGTTGATCCAGATGGCAAGCACTAGAACCCTGATTATTGCCCTCTCCTTAAAATTTGATGTGCCCAGTGGCTTGGGCCAAGGTCAAGGTGCTCATGGGATCATCTGCACAAAGATGGATTGCTTGGGTTTCCTTTTGATTTTGACCCTTTTATCATGCCCTGAGGCCTACAGGCCCACCCACACTCCTTGTCCAGGACAGTCCCAAAAGTCAAAGAACTCAGCACACAGGAAAGGGCCAGTTTTCACTTGGCACATAACAGGCTGTGTTTATCTTAACTTGGTACCCAAGATCGGTGTCTTCCAGGCAGACGTAGGACTCTTCCAAGTAGAACCTGACAGGAACCATTCATTCACACTGGACTCCCAAGTGGGTCAGCCCTGGGTAGTGAAAGGTCAAAAACTGGCAGCAGCCCTCTCCTAGGCAGGCCCTACAGAACCAGTAGCCCTGGGAGGCAACCCTGACTGCAGTACTTCTCCTCCTGTTCCAGAATGGCCGGACTTTGTGAACAGCTATGCCTCCTGGTGGTCCTCACACGTCCTAGACTGGCTCAAGTATGGGAAGCGGCTGCTGGTTGTGCACTATGAGGAGCTGCGGCACAGCCTGGTGCCCACACTGCGGGAGATGGTGGCCTTCCTCAACGTCTCTGTGAGTGAGGAACGGCTTCTCTGTGTGGAGAACAACAAAGAGGGCAGCTTCAGGCGGCGTGGCCGGCGCCCTCATGACACAGAGCCCTTCACCCCGGAGATGAAGGACTTGATCAATGGCTATATCCGGACAGTGGACCAGGCTTTGCGTGACCACAACTGGGCTGGGCTGCCCAGGGAGTATGTACCCAGATGATAGGCCCACCCTGGATACCTGCTCCTGCTGAGATGCAGTTACACTAACGGCTGAACACTGCTCTAGTGCATTGATCTGTGGACCCCTGGGATGCATGGCTGCCAGCACACAGTCAGCAAGGTGTCCTTGCCAGTACTGCTCCATGTGCAGAGGATGCTGGGCAGCACCAAGCCTACCCAGATAGATGCACATCACAGGACACTCCTTGCCAGACACTTACACATCCTCAGACACACTTAGACATCATTCAACATCCACAGTGCCCATTTTAATGTGCCTAAGCCACTTGGGTAGGGTGGGTCGGACACTTCCAGCTTTGCATACACAGCCAGATATGGACACATACACTCGGGTGCCAGGGTGTATGCTTACAGAGACTGGCTATCTGCCTCATATATTAACATGTGCACACTCAAGGCTGTGGGAGACCCTTGGCTTCCTGGGTCCAGCTGGGCACAAACTGGCCTTTTGAGGTCCTTGGCTCTCGAATATTGTACTGGGCAGGCATTATTGTGCTGAGCAGTACAGTGAGGACTTGGGGGATGGAGATGCACAGACAGACTGTCGCTGATGGGTAATGTGTGACCCTGGCTGTGTATCTGACATCCCATAAATGTGTGTGCTGTGACATCCGGGCACTGCAAACACCATGTCTCTGCCTCTCTCTTCTCCATGGATGATGATGGCCAACATTGTGTCAGCATGGGGCCCACTGCCGCCCCCTCCCCAACTCCTGCAAGTACACTTGTTGACCTTAGGACAGCCGCTACTATTCAGCACAGCCCTCTTACCCTTTTTCAGCTAACAGCACCAAGGCATCTAAGAGTAGCCCCACTTGCTCCCCCATTCAACTGTCTTCCAAAGCATGGGCGTCCTGCCCATGAGGAGGGCCAGAGGATGGGATAGCAGCTTGGCCTCCAGAGGATCTCCAGACTCCAGCAGGAGGGGTTTGTGGTGGGTAT